TGTACCGCAAAAAGTTAAACTACCACTGAATTACCAACACCGGTTTCAATAGTCATTGGCGATAACATCTTTGCTCTACACCTTTGTTCCTTCAATCTAAATTAATTGTACGTTTCTTATGCAAAAGAAATTTCGATACCAATGAGGAGTTAAAATAAGCAATTATATTTATATCACTTCCACCGTTACTTTATTGGCAATATACGAAATAACTCCATTCACATTTAGTTTGTCCATATCAAACTCGTTGCGATCCAGTTTGTCAGTGCGAATGGGATATGTCAGTTTATTCTTATTAGAAGCATTAAACTTGACTACAAAGCACAACCGACAATCTTTTGGTCAATATTGTTTTCGCTTGTTTCATTTTAATCACTAGCGCTACAATGCCGAAAAAAATATAACGAATCATTTAACATGCTAGAACTGCCATTACCATGAAAGCAATATTCCTGCACGAGTGACGCCCATCTAGTAAAACATTCTGAATAACACTATCCACGCCACACCACCTGAATAACATTACCCGAGTCAAGCCCACTGAATACCCACTAACACAGCATGAATAACTGAGCCCAACACCCTCTGAATAAAAGCGCCGGAATGACCCCCTCCCCCCCTCCACAAACAGCACCCCCGGGCGCCTGATGAGCCTCCGCGAGCAGCAGGTGATCCGGCTGCAGCGTGAGATTGCGCACCAGGCCGGCGTCAGACTCACGCTGCGCAAGAAGGACTGCATGAATTCCATTGCATTTGTTAACGTATTCAACCATGTGAGTATCCTGACGTCCATGGTGTCTCCGATGAATAAATATTTGGATCGCAGCAGTAGAAGTATCTTTGTGCATTCGCCGGGATATAAAACTGATATTAATGTGGTTCACAATTCTCTCCTTGCTCTCAACAGGTGTACGTGGCAGGCTGGAAGCAAAGAGAACACCCATACCTCCATAACACATTCCACATCGGTGACCGCCTCGTGAGCGTGTGCGGCGTACAGGTCACCACAGCGCAAGAGGCCCACAATCTTATCAAAAACGAGCCTACCATGATGGCAAGTCCTAGAATACAGTTTCCATTGCCATATGTTATAGTCTCTTCATACGCCCAGCATAATCCGTCACGTAATATAATAATCTTCGTATTTGCACTTATGGCTAATCGTTGATGTGGGTTGACAGGTGGAGTTCATCATCAGACGAGTCCCTCACGGTAGGGTGTTCGCCCTGAAGAGGGAGACAGAGGGCCAAGCTCTGGGCGTCATCCGAGAGGGAAATACCGCCGAGATACGTGAGGTAAGGCCCCCTCCCTCTTGCCTTTGGTTGTTACCTTATTCTTGCACTCATTTCGTAGTTTTTATTTTGTCACAATAATGTCAATTTCAAGAATAAATGGTACTGTATAAAGTTCAATATAACAGCCATTATACAATAGTATAACGATAAAATATCTGATGAAAACAATGGTAGGTGCAAAAGTGATCGGTAAAAAATAACAAGAAATGTGTGGATGTGAAAACACTCGTTTTCAATTTTCAAGATCTCGTTTTTATGTCGTGTTAGATTGAGCTATGAAATCTTCCTTTCTCCCTATATAATTTAAAACTTCTATTCCTTTACGTTATCTTTTATTAGCCTCGGTTTTTCCATTTATTTCATTCTACTTATTCGTTCTCTAATTCGTATATTACTAGATAAGTCTAATTTACTTTATATCAACATCAAGACTTCTACTTTTTAGCATCCCATCACAATATGTATTATCATTCTTGCTCACATTGTTTTGCCTAGCAATATCCTACTTTTCATTTCTACGTTTGGTATAATACTGCAGTGTATTCAACAACTGCGCGCAACAATCTATATTTATCCCATGCTATTTTATACTCATGGGTGAATGCACACGAAATGTACAAATACATTTAATCATAAGTCGCATGATTGGCCAAACAGATCGTTCCCGGTGGACTGGCTGCTCAGCATGGTGTTCCCCCGAAATCTCAGACGGTTGATGGCACGTCCTTCTGCTCGTGGGTGCTCACCGAAATCAATCACAGACCATTAAATCTCTTCTTTAAGGTGATTATATCTAACCTCTATCTTAGTTGAAGTAACGACGCCAAACTTATTTTTTTCTGATTAGTTAAGCTGGATAATGTGAATAATTTTCTATATTTCGATATCAGAAAGTGATATCATTAGACAGTTTACACATAATATGCAAACTTCTGCAAGCGTAATGATATTCGATTCCGCTTCACAGCACATGGAGATAGCTGACCGTCTGAACGCGGTTGGGCGAGACATCTCCATCCTCATCCAGCCTATGGACCTAGTCAAGCAGCTCAAGAAGAGTCTCAAAGCTCTTAAAGGCTACAAAGACTACATCGTGATGTAAAAGAGGCAAATCCTTCGTGTGAATGGATTAGTTTCGATGTAAGGCAGGAAGGGAGGTCGAGGATGAAACCGAGGACTTCCAAACAAGGAGCGGCGGCCGCACTCGATTCGGAGAAACGGGCAAAACCAACATAGACTCTGAGATCTCCGCAGCCATTGAAGCCTTGCATATGTGCCAAACTCTAGTGATGTGATAAACTGTGCCAATCTGACATGTGTGCAATGCATGTCACCAGAGATGACAGAGGCTGAAAATATCAAAACTCTTGCAATACACACATTCCCTAAACATGTTTAGAATTGTATAATTGTGAAGTTTTTTGTCTAGATTATCTCGTCGGTGGTCAGATTAGAGAAATGCATTATATATTTTTGTTACAATGACGTCATATCCATATTGTGCTGTCTAGTTACCATTATGGAAGCCACTTTAAGGCTTTAGTATTGATGATCGTTTCTTTTGCTGGTCGAATCTTGCTTTATGAGAAAATACGTAATACCTGTTATTGGTGTGATGCATGTGAATGAACTACTCTAAAGCGACTATGAATGAGCGGTTTGTCCGAGTAACAGACATTTCTAGAACTTGAGAAGCTTCGCTGTCAGACAACGCCCTTCTTAATTCTTGGGCGTGGTTGTTTTGAGCTATTACTCGTGCTATGTTGTACTTGACCTGTGTTTTGTTATGTTTCAACTATGTTATGTTTATACCTTATCTACCTTTTTGTTGAGTTCTTACTTGTGCTATATTTGAAGTTTTACTTGTGTCGGGGCCTCTGCTTTTTCCCAGTTATGTGGTACTTTCAAATACAGTAAGTTATGCTGAATTCCAACCCGTGCTGTCGTATCCATGACGACATCCAAGCCATGTCCGTGCTACCAATGTGATGTTTAGTTGTGTTCTGACTGAGGTTTACCTTGTTATCTTTGCCTCACCTGTGATATGCCAGCAACCGCCAATAGAATGTTGATGTGTTGAGTATTTCACAGTCGTGTATTATGTGTGTGGTGTATTTGTATGTGTCTATGGATGTATGTTTGTGTGTGTGTGTGTGTGTGTGTGTGTGTGGAGGGGGGTACATATGGGTGTAGCTGAGTTTTGTAAGGAGCGGGAGGCAACACCAGAACACACTGAATGTTCTTAGAAACTCATCATGCATAATGCTAGTCTTTCTCTTATACTGTATGTCACTGAACGACTGCACACTGCTTAATGATATACTAGCTAAATTCATAACTGTCGATCATGCATGCTGAGATCGTCGGAACACTAAATCATGAAAGGAACATGATTAAAAACTAGTATGCAGAAGTGAGCATTGCATGAGCAAGGAATGGTGCTTTGAGCATCACGTGAGCCAGGACACAAGACTAGCATACAACATTCCATGAATCTAAAATACCACAGGCATCAGGACACAAATATCGGGGCACAAGGTTCATAATAGCCTGGGTAAAATTTTAAAATTATAGATTGTGCAAATAGGATTCATCTAAATTAGATAAAATCGAGAATTAAACATTGTTTTGAAAGATTAGGGCGTAAAATGTTTACAATATTTGCATTTGTTTTGGTTCGTCTCACTTTAACACCGATGAACGGAGTCACTGCGTTACCCAAGAAATACTATTCTGACAACCTCGGTGCTAAGCTTCCATATGTTCAGAGTATGAGTAAAACACGAACAAAAAATCTGAAGGTGCTGATACTTCGTAAGAAACATTTTGTCGTGTAGATCAACTTTTATTTTTTCTACCGTGAGTTATTTCCCTTCGTGTTTTCGTCTGAATCCATTCACATTACTAACCCCTCTTCCCCTCTCCCCTGAGCAGTTTCCCCTTGCGAAAAGAGCATCACAAGCTTTCGTGTGATGCGTGACAAAGAGATAAGAGAGAAAGGTCTGAACAGCACGTATTCTCTCATAGATTACCTCTGATTCAAACAACGGCGAAGTTGTTGCGTCTGATGCTCGTTGTTTATTCCTAGAATGTATCCAATGATTTGTTTCTCTCTCAGATCACGCTTAGATGATTTGCACTTACGCTTAGCTATATACGACTCTGCTACACCCTTCTCATTAGCTGTGAATAGGTCCCTCATATGCAATTATTATATGATGTCCCAGTGTATATTTGCACTGAAAGTTTTGTTTGAAAGTTTTTTTTTCAACGAAGCATGGCTGTCAGGCTCCCTGCGTTTCTATGGCGACATCACAAAATCTTCCCCATGTACGTGGCAGGAAGCGTGATCTGCCGGTAGAGAGGCCTGTGGCGCAGCGTTCACCATATTGATATCAGACAGTCATGCATTATTTATTCTCCAATGAAAGGAATCAGATTAAGATCTTTAAATATATCCCACCTGTAATGCTCTTTATCCCAGCGTCAAATACTTTTTTTGCAATCCCACCTGCACATTACGAGTTGATGTGTCAAGAATCTCACATCCCACCTGCAACACCTTAGGTTTCCGGGTCAATTAGGTGCTAATCTATTTGCTTTACGTAATAAGGTTTTGTTCGTATTCTCGCTTCCTTCTGTATTTACGCCGACTTTGCTCCCCCTCTACGCCCTCTGGGGCCAAGCGTCTAAAGTTTTGTTATA